AATCTTCACCCATTCCTACAAACTTACCTAGGTCATAAGCGGGCATGGAAAAAATGCTGAATACCTGAAACGCTTCAACCTCAAGGAGGATGATACCTGTTCTTGAATTGCTGCGATAACCCAAACGAAAGTTAGTCTTAGCAAAACAGTGGCCATTTTCGTTAAAGACACTATTAAAAGAATTTCATCAAGATGCGATAATGTTTATTAATTCCATGAACATTAAAACGTAATATAATTATTTTAAAAAATTATATCATTAAAGCATAATTAACAAACTATTGGGTTGTCCGGAAAATAATGCAGGATTTTAAGTTTTCATTAAAAAAAATCTATATAAAATATTCTGTTTACGTTTACAGGATTACTCATTTGTATGAATGTCAACACTTATTAATCCTCTTCCAAATGATATTGTTTGTTTACCTCTGTAGCATTCCGCTACTTGGAAATAATTCAGTCATCCTTATAATGTCAAAGCGAGAATTTCGTACGATTTTCTTTTACGAGTTTAAACTCGGCCGAAGCGGAGCCCAAACGGCTAGAAACATTAACCAAGTCTGGGGCGAGGGTTGTGTTAATGAGTGCACTGTGCAAAGGTGGTTTAAAAAATTTCGGGAGGGAGATTTCAGCCTTGAAGATGAAGAAGGTCGTGGAAGGCCTTCCTCTCTTAATGATGATGTTCTGCGATCAGTGGTGGAAGAAAACCCCAAAACAACTGTTCGAGAACTTGCAGAGCAACTCAAAGTCAGTAAAACGACCGTCGCTGACCACCTCAAGGCGATTGGAAAAGTGAAAAAACTCGAAAATTGGGTTCCACACTCATTAAACGATCGCCAAAAAAATCAGCGCTTTGATGTTTGTGCATCACTTCTTTGTCGAAACAAAAATGACCCATTTCTGGCCAGAATTGTTACATGTGACGAAAAGTGGATTCTCTACGATAACACTAGACGTTCTGGACAGTGGCTCGACAAAGGAGAAGCTCCAATACATTTTCCAAAGCCCCCAACTCATCAAAAAAAGGTAATGGTTACGGTATGGTGGGCTTCATTTGGTTTAATACACTACAGCTTCTTAAATCCTGGCGAAACCATCAATGCTGAATCATACTGTAACCAAATTAATACCATGCATCAGAAATTGGCAGTAATGAAGCCCTCTTTGGTCAATCGGAAAGGGCCCATTTTGTTGCATGACAACGCTCGACCACATGTGTCACGTGTAACGTCACAAAAATTATTGGAGCTTGGCTATGAAACTTTGCCTCACCCACCCTACTCTCCGGACCTCTCGCCTACTGACTACCATTTTTTTAGACACCTGGACCACTACTTACAACACATAATATTCAAAAATCAAACGGAACTGGAAAATGCATTTATTGACTTTATCAATTCTAAAAATTCTGAATTCTACTCAGACGGAATTAATAAGTTACCAACACGTTGGGAGAAATGTATTGAGAGTATGGGAAATTATTTTGATTAAAGAACATTGCTTTAAAGTAACTAGTTTCTTTTTTTTTGTTTAATACCAAAATCCTGCATTATTTTCCGGACAACCCAATATTATTTAACAAAATTAAACAAACATTATTGTAAGAAAATATTTAATTATATAACGTACCATCAAGATCAACAACGTCAAATTTAAATCTAATTTGAATCTGATATACCAACTAGTAAAAACTGAATAGACCATGTAATCTTTAAACACCTGCAAAGTTAATCGGGAGCAGGTGGAAATATCTTCTCGCAAGGGTTACTTGGAACCCTACACTATGTCAGACAAAACCGTAAAACATAAAAATTTGTAGGCGCTGCTTTCTTGTGATTTAGTGTCGAACCAGTCGAAATATACTGCTACAACTTCAAACCGATGATTCAACAAAAAGAATATAAAATAGATTCTGCAGAAATTATGTTGATAATCGGTAACGAAATGACTGTCAAATTATTCGTCATTTGATTTAACTCCTCGTGAGACAATTTGACATTTCGTGACCACATGACTTCTTGTGAGGAATGTCCATCACTAGCATCGTCCGATAAGCGAACATGAATGGAAATCTGGGTGGTTCTTCTTTTTGCTAAACATACAATGTTCAAACTTTTAAAAACCAAGTGCTTACACGATGGACGTCAACTTGTATATCAAAGCTACCATTTTAGGAAGTTTCCCACTGGGGTCGCAAAGTCTTTTAATACTGAGGTTCTTTAGCGTGCGCATCTGGCACATAGGCCTTATCACACGTTTATATTCTCAAGTTAGGAGCGACTCACTTCCGCGCACGGAAAATCTGTTTAACCGTGAGGTTCGGTGTAGAAGCCCGCACATCATCCTTCAGCATTCTGCCGACATATCGACTTCTCCCGCTTGCCCCTTCCGAGGAGGTGGGTTAACATTGTGCACTCAAAATATGTCCCGCGTAAAGGGATACCCAAAAGGGGTCGAAATGCATCAAACAAGTCTCCCACGCACTCCCTAGATAGAGAAGACAACTCTATCTCCCTGGATGTAGGGGCTCCGCTAGCGTCGAAATTTCCGGATCCTCTCCGACCGCGGTTACGATTTTAGTGGAATCTCTAACCACCCCTAGAGGTAACCCAAGGAAGCCCATACGTGCACCGCCGAAAAATCATCCCTCCCCGTCCAGCATTCCTTAGGCAATCGTGGGATTCCGTCAGCATTGTCTAGCCTCCTCGTAGGCTGTACGCTTCGGCAATCTTATCTCCGACTCCTGCGACTCGGAGGTCATGCGCAAGGGCTTAGGGGCACGGCCACGAATGAGACATCAGCCTCTTCTCTAGGTACCCGCCAGGGGTCTCACCACTCAGCCCTGCGAGTCCTTAACAGTGCACTGGGTTTGAACTTGGATCGTAACTACGCTGTCCCGCAGTTCAGATGGTTATGCACCCTCCCCCATCCATATATACAAATATTTTTAGACAGGATCTGGTACCCTAACCCGCATGTAATTCTGATGTAGCACCCGCCGTCCGAGGTAAGCTCTCAAGCCAACATCTCCCTTAACGCATCTCGAGGGACTAGGTAGGCGTGGTCTTGGCATCCTCGCACGCTGTACGCTTCCTTGGTCTTATCATCCAAATGCATGGGCTGGGAAGGGTCTGCTGGAATCTCCTAGGAGTACCCGCTGCTCAGTCCCAGGATTTGGATTGAAAAAAAAGGGAAATTTTCGAGATGCGCTTGCCCCAACACGCACCCCACCCCTTGTTACCCTTCTCCTTCTTCTTTTAGGAAGTGCAAATTTTGGTGGGCTTTTTATAACGGGATAAACGGTTATCTCAACTTTCACCTATAGGTTGAATGTCAGGTCCAAAATAAAACTCCGCCCTTTTAGCCATAAATTTGAAGAAAAAATTCGCTAAGAGTGGCAACGACTGAAGAACCGCGATCGCCACGGCAAACAGTGATGCCCGCATCACGAGGAAAAATTGATTTCATCGAGACAGGTTGTGTAGTCGGTTTGTGCTTGAGTTTTCAGACAAAGAAAAGAAAACGGGGAAAATATTAAGTGCATTCTCTCATTTGTCCAAGAACAACCAAAGGACAATTTTATCAAATTCATCTTAATTTGAATGACCACCCCGAGAAAGTTTGCGGATACTATAGAATGAGTGATGGTAGTTTTGCTCAATTACAATTGTACGTCCAAAGTTTCCCAAAGAACACAAAGTGGAGCACAGTATACCACCTGAAGAACGTCTTTCTGTAATGTGACTAGTCGCTGCCGCAGGTGCGCGCAAGGTCCATCCATTTCTGTGATTCCCATTTCTACTCGTGGCAATCGCATCGCCTGAAAAATAAACCTGTTTTATCTTTTTATTCGCCTTGATTTACAAGTCGCATATGCGTTGATCTCATTGAAAGCTGTGTCTTTTCTGCCTTAATCGCGCGAATGAAAGCCAGTCGCTTTTAGTTCAGTTTGAATAGACTAACAAAATTCAACGTTTATACTTGACTCGTCATTGATGCAATCTTGCATGTTCTTTGGGGGGTACGCTAATTCAACAAATCCCACCGCCCTTATAAAAAAAAAGGGTCTACGGTTCGTGATCGTCCATTCGACTCTATTCTAGAATATTCCATGCTTTGCAAGTAGCGTGTTGAGAAGGGTAAAATCAGGAGTGAACAAACTTAAGTAAGGGTCAGCGCGGAATAAGCAAAGAACGAACTTAAATCACAAATGCTGAATTAGCAGAACCCATCGTCACCTAAAACAAAATCAGCTTCACTCTCAAGTCATAAACTTATGCCGTACTTTATAAATTTCGTAAGTCTTTTTATTGGTATGCAATTAACATAAGACCTATTGTGATTGTTACCTTCTTTACTCGGAGTCTAGGGAAAAGTAATCCACCCAAGGTTTCCAACTGCATTGCAGAGATTTTTATATTTAACATAAAGAAAATCCATGAGTAAAATCAAAAGGCTATAGTGGCGAAACGAGGTTTTCGAGTAGGATAACTGAGAAAAATTATTATTTTCACTTTTCCTATACTATCAGAGTAAAAAAAAGACATTCACCCTGTATGTAGCTGGCCATAGATTATAAGAGTGTGAATTGGAACGTTTTTGAATTCTAGAAATCAGCACGGCACTGCAGTTGATTCAGTTTGCTTCATGATTAGCATGTTGTTTTTAAAAAATAGCTGTTGGCTAACTAGTTCTTCCGACATAGAACGTTTTTATTTCCGTTCTTTACCTTTATCGCTCCGTACTAGTACCACAAGAAAAAACAGCTAAAGGCATGGGATAACTGCATGAAGATCTGAACTGTTGAATCCCTAAAACGTCATTTCAACAAAAACTTGTTGAACAATAAGATACATACAATATAAACTGCACAAAGACTAAAGCCCTCGTTTTACATTGCTGGCGTAGCTAGTGTTGCTACAGTTTAGTTCAAAGTTCAAAACAGTTTCAACAAGAAAAACCTCAGGTAATTGCACTAAACAGCTGTTGCAAATGTTGATTTTGACCATAACATGAATTCCAGCTAGCAACCGGGTGTAGTTGAAACAAAAATATCTAAGTAGGTTTCACTTATTTTTCAGGCTAAGATTAAGTTTTACATGAGTTAAAAATCTGAAAAGTAAGTTTTACATAAGTTTTTTATACTAACAAATTGATTTTAAATTAGTTTTTAGATTTTAAAGTAGATTTTACTTCAGTTTGTAGTCAAAATATTGAGTTATACTTGTTTTTTAGTCAAAAAAGAACATTTTCAGTAAGTTTTAATAAAAACGACAGGTTATACTTGAACTCAAAGAGTAGGTTTTACTTGGCAACTTTATTACAAAAACATTAGCCGAGTTGTTACATAAAAATTAGACGAAAAAAACCTAACCGTGAAAAAAAAGGCCAAGTTCCAGACCCCTCAAACAAAATTAGCCTATCAATGTAATGATATATACCCTCCCAAAAACGTCAGCCTATCGAAGTAGTGAATGTAAATTGTGGCAGATTTTTATAAGCAACTTTTATTTTTATTGGTTAACACTTTCTGATGAGTTTCTGATGAAGAATAAAACATCAGGACCATATGTGCTCACGCAGGAGAGGTGGGTGAAAGGAAGGTAGAGAAATAAAAAGAAAATAAAGTTCCAAAGTACTCATTGCTCATTAGCAAATCACAAGTTTGGTCGAGGGTGTATGCTGAACTCATGCTATTTCATGAAAAATTTATAAGCGTTAATATGTCTGTAGTACAAGAGATCTGATCCCGGTGTGTGCGAATCGGACCTATATAAATCAACAAAACCTATATAAAATTTATTTAGTTTGAAAATTTAAATTTACTAGCCTTTTCAGTATATTTTTATACTTTTGATTTAATCATCGTTTAGTCGAGTTTGTCTAAATCTATCGATATTTTTTCCCTTATGAACCCCAGTAAATTTCACGGATGAGCGATAGGAGGTTGCCTTCGGGGCTGATCTTCGCTTTCCGGAAGTTCCTTTTGGGAAGAGAAGCGACAGAGAATAACAGATACTACGATGAAGTCCATTCCAGGGTTCCTGCATGTCCTCTTCCCAACTTACCAACCGGACCTCACTCGATTTTATCAAGTATACAATTATTATTTAAAAATATCCTTATAAACAGACCTGAAATTAGTTAGAACCCAGTTCCTTATACAGTCGTTAGAGATTGGACTTTTTTAATTTTTAAAGGGCATATTTAACATATTTCAATTTTTTTTACAGAAAATTATTATTGTAACCGTGATGCGAGAAGGCTGGTGAAGCCTCCTGCAGAAATAAAGCCTATTCCTCAAATCAAAGCCGACCAATCTGATGTATGTGAGCCTAGGGCAGCCATGCCAGGAAAATCTAGATCCTGCTAAAAAGTCAAGACTTTGGAAAAAAAATACCATGAACCGTCTAGTAGTCTTAAGTTTTTAAATTAAATTTTAAACAACTGATTTTATTTCTTATATTTCAAAAGATTGTAAATTGTTGCGGCATTGTTTTTAATCGTATTTGTAAGTCACTAAGTCCCTGTCAATTAAGGGGAAGCCTTATGTGAACGTCGAGGGAATCAAGAAAAGGCCAATTGCAGTTTAATTTCAGAGAACGTTTGGGTGCAAGTAATTAAAGACAAAATAAAATAAAAACTTTTTGGCATTTTAATTATTATTACATTAGTAGAAGAAAATAGATCGTCCTAATTTTTGAGCAAAATGTTATAAACTGGTAAATATCAAGGTTATCTATAAAATAATTAAACAATTTTGTGTTAATAATTAAGTTTTTAGCATGTCAGTAGAAAGAATATTCCTACAGTATTATTTACGCATAATTAACGAATGTTTGTTTTGAACCTTATCTATTTATGATGAGCAAAGTTCGTTATAATTAATCTTTTAAAATTAGAATTTTTCGATTGGTTCTGTCAACTGGATGATGTTCTTGTGATTAGGTACAATTTTTTCAGCTGAAACGATGAATGATATCTTCAGAAAGAATGTAAAAACATAATTGAGCGATGGAAGAACCATTTTTTTTGTACGTAGACATCGAAAGAATGTTTTAATTTAATATATTTATTTATTAAAATGGGTCAAATGAAGCCATCTATTAAGTTTACAATGACTAACTTAGAAGAAATAAATAACTTTAGTCCACCCATAATTGTTGTCACAGTTTATCTAATTTAGCTTCTACAGGAAGTTTCTAGAGAACTAAATCAAATTGCTTAGTCATCTTCTAGCTAACTACGTAACAGGCAGCCTGGCCTCGGTGTCCGGGTGGCTTTCAAGACGAAGGTACGCTTCTATGATCTCTGTCGATGTGAGGGATGTTCAGGTCTCTGGGTATGTCTCTATAGCGAACATACCAAGGAGCATCTACCATATTTCGTAGCACTTTGTTCTGAAACCGCTTTTGACACATCCCAGAGTTGTACACCATTACATCCATATAGGTTAAAATAATTGATTACAACTCAATATTTTATTTTGCTTAATTAATTATTCTTGTATGTAAGGTCTCGGTTGAGATGAAAAAGCTAGTGTCACGAACGGGATTCGAACCCACGACCTTCAGCTCAATATGCCATTGCTCTAATCATTTGAGCTATCGTGACTACGATCCACTCGGACACCGACTCTCCATCTCAACCTATAACCTTTCGAATTTTCCGTCTTTTTTTCCATTGCCTTTTTTTTGTCGGTGTCCGAGTGGATCAAAGTCACGATTGCTCAAGTGGTAAGAGTAGCGGCCTTTTTAGCCGAAGGTCGTGGGTTCGAATCCCACTCGTGACACTAGCTTTTTCATCTCAACCGAGACCTTACATAAAAAGAATAATTAATTGAAAGAAGTAATTTGTTAATTAGACCACTAAAACATAATGGATTTAATAAGTAAAAGAAATATGACTTCACTAACAGCTCTCCGTGGCTAATTCATAAGTCGCTGAGAATCGAATTCTGATTACACGACATTTGAAAAATGGCAAAAAAGAGGGAAAATTCAAAAGGTTGTAGGTTGTGATGGGGAGTCGGTGTCCGAGTAGATAGAAGTCATGATAGCTCAAGCGGTTAGAGCAACGGCGTATTGAGCCGAAGATCGCGGGTTCGAATCCCGCTCGTGACACTAGGTTTTTCAACTCAACCGTGACCTTACATAAAAAGAATAATTAATTGAAAGTAGTAATTTGTTAATTATACCACTAAAACATAATGGATTTAATAAGTAAAAGAAGTATGACTTCACTAACAGCTCCCCGTGGCCAATTCATAAGTCGCTGAGAATCGAACTCTGATTACACGACATTTGAAAAATGGCAAAAAAAGGGAAAATTCGAAAGGTTGTAGGTTGAGATGGGGAATCGGTGGCATCGAAGTCATGATAGTTGTTCAAGTGGTTAGAGCAACGGCTTACTGAGTGTAAGGTCGCGGGTTCGAATCCCACTCGTGGCACTAGGTTTTTCATCTCAACCGAGACCACACTTAAAAAGAATGATTAATTGAAAAAAGTAATTTGTCAATTAGACCATTGAAACATAATGGATTTTATTTTGTATTGATAGTCGGGAATTCCTTCTCAGTAATCAATAAAGTTGACGGTATTTGAAATCAAGTTCTTTCCTTTTCCTTTCGATGGGTTCTTTCCACTTTAATGTTTTATCTATTGTCATACCTAAATATAGATGGGAAAGAATTTTAAATTCAAAATATAATTCCCACTTCCAACAAGTTTGTTGTTACGCAAAGTATGTACAATTTGTACGAGCAATTATACATATTTTTCTAGCTTCCCTCATCTTATCACCTTATCTAAAACATTCAGCATCTTCAGAACACAAGTTAATCGGTTTATTAACATGTTAATAAATAATTATTATATAACAACAATATAGTCATATAAAACAGAGAATAATCAAGCAGTTGAGGTTCTCAAAAAAATAAATAAAATAAAATAAAACAAATAAATTAAAAAAATAAATAAATAAAAAACCACATGAAATTTTTTTATAGACAAAAAGTAGCTGTACAATAATTTCTACAGTTCTATGTAATGTGTACAATTTGTAGGAGCGATTATACATATTTTTCTAGTTTCCCCCATCCTCACCCCTTATCCAAAACATCAGCATCTTCAGAACGCCAGTTAATCGGTGTTGGTTAACATCTTCTAGTTAAACGCAAATAAGTAATTTGTGTAATTTTTTCAAAGAGGCACTGAAATTAAGGTCCTATATGATTAATCAATAAATACAAATAACAATAAAACCTCCTCAGGGTTCGGTTCTGAGTGTCACTTTATTTGCCATTGCGGTAAACGGTCTTGCTGATAATATAGATGATCGTATAGTCAGGCCTTTATATGTCGATGATCTTTGTTTTTACTTGTCTGGGAAAAATCTCCAAAACGTAGGAAGGACTTTACAAAACGCCATTGACACATTGTCACGAAAAGCAGATGATGTAGGTTTCAAATTCTCTTTGTCCAAAACGGTATTTGTACACTTTTGTAGACTGAGAAAACATCATGAAACACCTCGGCTTTTCCTTTCTGGCGTTGAAATAAAGGAAGTCGACGTTGTCAAATATTTGGGAGTTTCTTTCGACAAAGCCCTTCGATGGAAACCTCAAATAGCCCAATTGTCTAATTCAGGAAGGAAAATACTAGGCCTGATGAGATTCCTTGCTAATTACAATTGGGGGGCGAATAGAGACATTCTTTTAAGAATATTCAGCATGTACTTAGGAGCAAAGTTTCGATATGGAGCAGCAGGTTACTCTTCAGCGCGAATATCAACTTTAAAACCTCTAGATAGAATTTATTATCAAGGTATCAGGATTGCAACAGGGGCGTTTAGAACAAGCCCTTTATATAGTCTCTGCAATGATGCCGGTGTCCTTCCTCCGGAACTTTTCAGGGAGGAGGCAATTCTTAGGTTTGTTGCTAGACTTTGGTCTAAGCCTTTCCATCTTCTATTTCCTTCAGTTTTCCGTAACCCTCACCAAGATATGTACTCGTTCCTAAGAACTAGGACGAGACCTCTCGGAATCCGCGGTACTGAAATGTTGAGATTAGGAGGGAATACCTTGCCGGCGGTTGAGGGTTTTAAATTGCTAGATATCCCACCGTGGGCATTACCTACTGCCACAATTATCGAAGATCTGTCTTTGTTGGACAAAAGAGAAACACCTTCTCTGATGATCAAGGCAGAATTCTTGCGAATTTTAAATAACTATCCCAATTATAAATTTTTTCTAGTCATGTCAATTTTTTGTTCTTTTATTGGAACTTGTCTAATATATACAATCAGTTCCTGTATTTATTTATTTAGTGGAACGTTTAGTCAAGATGACAAGCATGTCCAATTCTTCGTTTCTTTCTAATCCTTGTACTTATACACGCTTCTTCTTGTGCTTCTTTATAGCATGAAGAGTATAATATTATTTCAATATGTGAATCTTTTCTTTTCTTTATAACATGAAAGTTTGGTTGTTTATTTAAATTCTATTTCATTTGTGTACAATGATAACTGAAAGGTTACGTAGGCTAACCCCTGTAAACCAACACATAATGAAAAAACTCTAAATAAAAATATAATCTAAAAAAATCAATATCAATTTTTCAAATCTTTGTAAACCGACACAAATAAAAACGATAATAAAATATACTTTTTAGTTTAAATAATCAAACATATAAATTAGCTGTCTTTTTTCATGTGGCATATTTCATAGTTCTTCTTAACTATGTCAGTATTCCCATTTTCTTTATCTAAAATCTAAAAATAAACTCAAGACCTCTTAACATTATAAATATCTTTAGATGAAGAACAAGAAGAACTCAAATTCAAAACGTTATCAAAAGAATTGGAACATCCCATGATTCCGAAATAGTGGGGACAAAGGCCATCGGGGTAAACAAAATATCAACTGTTCTTCCTGGTGTTATGCTCGAATTTAGATGATCGGGAGGAGATCTGATCTATTATTAGAGGTCAACAAGGAAAACTTCCTGTTGGCAACGATTTCTAGGCATGAATAAATTTCTCCGATGGCGTGAATACGGTCTGCTTTCTTAGTGGTGTTCACTGAACTTTTTCATTACGAAATGTTTAAGATATAATTGAAGGAACAATGTACGGATAGGGTATGGTATAATTACGGCCGGTTGTATTCGGTGCGTTGGTCGGAAAGTTTCCGCGGCCGTTAATTCTTCAATTTGTATTCCTTATAGTGAGAGACAGGGAAGGTAAAAACAGTGTTTTGAATGTTAATGTAACAGTAGGAAAATGTGGCGTAGTGAGAGTATTGTGCGAATAAATATTACTTGCACAGCTGTTGATGTTTATTTTTCAAAAAGCAATAGCTGGTGAAAAACGTAGAAAGATGAAAACACAGCTCTATTATTGCATGATACGTAAGATTTGCGTAATAGATGCGGATGATACCATGCCAACCATAGCAGCCATGAGCTGGCTATAAATTCCGAAGAATCATTAACCCTGAAAGTAAAATTAGATTAGGTTTTTCATGATTATTACTGCGATGTTTGAAGAAGAGCTTATCAAAATAAAAACGTTTATCTATTCATATGAGACGTCAGATATCCGTAACAGATTCCTATGATATCATGCAAATAGGATGGTCACTGTATATGGCTTTAAAATCCGGGAAATATCAACCAATAAAGTAAAATTACAACATGTTTTCGATGTTTAGAGTAAAGCTGTAGCAGCTAATCCTCCATAAAGTCTTGCATGCGAAGTGTGTCATGGTGGCCAAAAGCTGCTGAAACATCCATTACAAATTACAGCTTGAGTAAGCCACCTGCCGGATTGAAATGTGGAAAGAAAGTAGAAGATTGTAATAATTCGTAAATATCAAAATAAAAGCTTCCTCCTAATTCATACCGTATTGCAGTGACTCCATAAATTCTAGCTTGCGAGATGCTCATGGTCGCCAAGAGTTACTGAAGCATCCATTACGAACTCAAGCAGGCCATGTAATGGGAGAGTAAAAGAAAGTATACGACTGTACAAATTCGAAAATAACAAAATAAAACAGTTCACGTATTCATACTGTATTGCACGACATCTGATGTGCAAAACAAATGCTGATGATGCCATACTCCGAAATTAAAATTAGATCAAGCCTTCCTTTGGATCTTGGGATATTGTGGCCATTGATCCTCGATTAGCACCATTTGTAACGTGTTTCCTCGATTTCCATAATCAGTAGAAGGAGAGCTTGTCATTTTAGCAGGACATCTACTTAACCCTCAGACAGGGTCTGAACTCAATTTTATAGATTCAGAATGAGCGGTTTACATGCTCCCATTCGAACTCACTTCCTTGAATCAAGTGATAAATTCAGCCTATATTCACATGAGCTAGATGGGTCTATGTGATATTTTACCAATGATTATTAAACTGAATGAAACGCTTCTAGTGATTAAAACCAGCGAAGGATAGGCGGACCAAGATAATCTGCAAATCGCCATTTTTGGAACGACTGTCTTGTCGAATCCATAAGAAATATCATCATCTTCAAGCTTGATAATCTTTACTTTGATACTTGATTTAGGAATTTGATAAATGCAATCGTTTGTTCTCTGCAACTTTTTTCTCCTCCCCTGCGCCTTATACAAAATGTACATGACCTTCCTCAGAAGTATTTTAGTATACTGTGCCATTCTACGTACCACTTACATTTCTCTTTTATGGAAGTATTCCATAGCCATTTTCATTCCTAAAGCACACAAACCTCCCAACTGTAGTTACAACATACAACATATCCTCCGTTAAACCGATCAGTCTTCTACCTGCGCTTTTCAAAATGGAAAGACAACTTTTAAAACGTTTAATACCCATCCTAATTTTACATAAAATCACCACTTCTTATCATTTCAGCTTCCGTCCCCATCAAACCGTTCTGCAAGGTTTCAGATTTGTGGGTTCCTGTGTATTAGAGAACAAAGAGAATTGCTTGGGTGTATTCCCTGGATATGACCTTTTGATAGGGACTGACATGCTTTATAAACTTATTCTTACCTTTATATTATACTTTATATTTAATCCTATTTAACTGACACAGCTTCAGTGTGAGCTCAGTTATCAGATATAAGACCATATA